TGCCGAGCGCCTAAGGGCCTCGCCACACCACTCTCACTGTCTCTTATACACATCTAGATGTGTACAAGCCCCCCCCCCCCCCTCCCTGCCTCTCCCTCTTCTTCCTTTCCTTTCCCCTTCCTTCTTCCTCCCTCCCTCCCTCCTCCTCCCTCCCTCCCAACTTTCTTGCTTGCGTGTATCCCTCTTGCCTGCCTTGGTTGATTGATTGGATTGATTCCTTGGCGGACGGTACATACCTGGACTTGCCGTGGCCGACGATCGTTCACACCAGGCTCGCTCTACAAGGAAGTCCAAAGTGCCTCGTCTGAAATTGCGCTCCAGTCGAACAGTCGCGACTGTTTCGTCCAGTACCGCCCCGCGGGCCCGGGCGGGAGGAGACTTCCTCTCCCCGCCCTTTTCCTTCTTTGCCCCGCCCTTTTTTTCGTACGTTTTTCGCCATTGGGCGGGTTCAATCTCTCGAGGAAGGACCCGCCGCCCTCCGAGGGCGCGTCCCCTTCTACACTTGGCGAAACATACGCGGAAAATGGCGGGGATTCTGCTACCGTCTTCGCCCGAACATAACGAACCCTGAAATTGAACGTATGCAAGATATATTTCCGGTCCGGTACAGCCAAGATGAGGGTGCGTTGTGTTCGGGGGAAGACGGGTAGCTTAGCGCCAAGCAAACAGGCCTGGCCCCATGCCGCGTTACCCCTTCGCTACCTACTGCCTGGTAGTGGACAGCCCGTTTTCGCACTTCCCACCAGCCTCTCCGGGGTTGCGCTTGCGTTCACAAAGCGGCTGGCGAGCATGCCACTGTGGCTCTGGTAACGCTGCCACAGAGGAAGCGGCGTTAGCAATAGTATGGAATGGATGGAGGAGGAGGACACGACGGAGATGTGAAATCATATAATGTTTTAAGGACAATTTGTCTGGCGCCCCTGTATTTTCCATTAATTTCCCGCACGCCCCTCCGACAGCCGATATACCCTGTCGCGCCCCTGGGCCTAAAAATCGTTTAGGCAGGCCCCCGTCGGTAGTGGGCGCAATTTTCCATGACGCCCTCCCTCAAGTGGCGGCCCCATTCCATCGGGCTCTGCGCCATATGCCCTCGTAAGACCCACCCATCTTCCTGTGCTGCCCCTGTAGCAGTGAGGCGTTGGAAATTTGAATTCAATTTCGAACCCCGTTGTTCTTGACGCGCCGCCGCTATTTTTCTTGACGCACAATGAAGGCCAACCTCCTGTCCTCTTCGTTTTTGCTCCTCGTCGCATTGGTCGCAAGGTGAGTGTCAGCCGCCCTCTTCGTTTTCGCTCGCAGCTGTTCCTCTGCTCTCTGTGTTCATGTCACTCTCCTCCCTACGAGTTTGTGTGTGTGTGTGTGTTTGTGTGTGTGTGTGTGTGTGTGTGTGTGTGTGTGTGTATGTGTGTCACACACACACACACACACACATACACACACACACACATTATGAGAGAGAGAGAGAAAGAAAGAGAGAGAAATTCCCCTGAGTGCCTCCAACGGCCACAGGGGCACACTGAAGAAATCGATGGTACCGGTAGGGGCATATTGGAAATTTTCCATATGGCTATCCGAGAAGGGCATGATGCAAATTTGATGTGAGTCCAGTAGGGGCACTACGAAAACATATGAGGCCCAAACAACACCAGGGTTTTATGGAAAT